GTTGAGCAACTCAGGCTTAGCCTCCTCCTGCCTAAATGGCTGGCTGACTGCCTGACACACACACACAGAAAGACACACACATGGCCACGTACACACACCTCCGTTTCCCTGCTTCTTCACCGACTCCTGGCTTCCTGCCCCTTCACTGCTCACTCGCTCCACACAGGATCACAGCCGTCTGCCAGGCCTGCCCTCTTCCTCTCCATTCATCCTATTGTCACCACATTGTCCTCTGCCTGTGTCCCTCTGGAGCCTTCAAATCTCAGCTACATCCTCGCTGCTTTTTGTACATCTCTATCTTTTTATTCTCGCTTGCTTATGTCCTTTCTCTCCCTTTTAGTTTCTCTCTGTTTTCCTCTTTTTCTCTTATTCGTCCTCTCCTCTATGCTTTTATCTCTCGCCGTATCTCTCCATCTCTCCCTCTCCCCTGTCTCCACCGGCCATTCATCCCGCTGCATTGTGTGGTGTAGTGCATTGTTGTCTGTGTACAGTAGCCAACGCTGACGTCAGCCGTAGATCCACAGAGAAGACAGTGACCGGCTCAGAAGCGCATTCAAAGCCTCGCTGGCTGGCTTCCTGCGTCTGGCTGACTGACTCTCTGGCCTCGCTACCCCCTCTGGGAATTTTAATACTCACTAATCGATCACCTTGTGCCAACAGAGGCGGTAATGTGGCCAGACCGTAATTATTGTTGCTGTAAATGAAGAGAGGTGTTTTGCAGCACTTAATTTTACCCAAGGTTTCTTATCATTCCGTCCGCTCCCACCAGTAATTTTTTTTTTTACTACCATATCTCTCATCCTTTCCCTGCTTCTGCTTCTGTCTTGCTCTTCTTTTAGCATGCATTTTTTTTTCTCAAAGGCTAATGAAAATTCTGCAGACCTCTGGCACTCTGAATGAGTGTGTTGGACAGTACATTAATACTGCTCTTAAGAAGAGAAAGATAGAGAGAGGAAGCCAGAGGAAATGGGGGGAAACAGGGTGGCGGGGTGCTGTGTAGAGGATAAAGGGGGGGAGCGGGAGTGCGCGAATCTGGAAATTCAATTATAACTGTGCCCTGGCAGTAATTCCACTGGTATAAATGGGACGGCAGAGCGAGAGAAGAGATGGATAGAGATGGATGAAGGCTGAGAGAGAAAGAGGCAGAGAAGAGATGGAAAGTTGAGGAACAAATGGATTCAAGTTAGCTGAGGAACATGGAGTCCAACAGCCGTGTGTGCATCATTATTTCATCATTTCGAAAATGCGTTTCGCACAGCACGAGACGATAATGACATGTCTCAAACCTCACGGACACAGCACATTTGCAAGCGCATTCGGCGAGTGTTTTTACATACGCATTGAAGCTCTCAACATGCCACCTCGATGGTATAGCCCTGATCTCATTAATGCAGAAACAAGGTAACGGATCAGCCCATGTGCGTCCCCTGGGAGGAGCAGGTTAGCCTTTGATGTTGAGTGAAGCACAGAGAGAGTCCTGAGGAGCCAGAGAGATTTCAACACCCTGCCTGCATGTCCTGACTGTCAGCTGCAACTGACTGTATCATATACAGTCCACAACTGAAACACGCACAGGGAGTCTGCAGATTTCAATTTCATTATAACAAGGCCTTAAAGATCCAGTTGGTAACTTTTATGAAAACAACTTTGTGTCATATTTGCTGGACCTGTCACTATATCCTGAAAGAAGTATATCACACAGATAGCCTGTGAGAGCCAAGGAGTCTCTAAAGCAGCTCTCGATCACGTCAATGGCTCCATCAACTGCAGTCAAACAGTCATTCAAGGCAGCGCTGATCAAATATGAATTAAGATTCTGTTACTGCGTTGCCTGTTTCAGATTTGCTGTAAAATGAGAAAGTCTAGTTGGTGGACAGGGGTTGGTACTCTGATTAACTGTATCCAACATGGCGGCTAGGTCACAAGACCTAACAATGCACTAAAAGGTGTTTCTGAAAATATTTGAGTTTATAGAGTGACTGACATGATTGACAGCTGCTTTAGAGACTCCTCGACTCTGATTGGTTGTTGTTGTTCACATGCAGTAAGACCATAAGTAATACTGCAAGGCAATAGAGTAGGCAGAGGAGTATGATTTTTTTTCACAGATTATCTTTCTCATTTAGTGCTGTGTAAATATAGTGACAGTTTCAGCTAATATGAAAAAAGTTATTTACCAACTGAAGCTTTAAAAGTCATTAAATAGTCTTAAACTTGAAGTTGTGTGTTCATAATTACCACAAACAATTGATCTGATTTCATTTCTTCATTTTTTAATTCCTTGTTGTCAAAATGATTCAAGCCTTTCTGTGTGAAGGTCCACATTTCTGATGTTACAAATCTTAAAACTGAATCTAATACTGTCTTATTACTTTATAGACAGGGTCAAAGTGTATTACCTGTTGGAATGTTTGTTAATGTAGCAGCTGACAGGAAGTAAACAGAGACCAAAGCTGGTGCCCTAGCAATAGAATAGCACTGAAACGATCCATAGACCAACTCACAATGTTGTTAACAGTAACTAGCTTGTAGAGATCCCTGCATCATCTACATAGAATGAAACGGTACTGAGGAAACGCTGCTTCAATTGGTCAGTTTTTAGCCACCTAAAAAAAAGACTCATCTAAAAAAATCAATTTCAATTTAAAGCCGCTACAAGGAACTTTTAACTGGATATGCAAAAGTCTCTTGTTTTTGCTGATTTCTGTGTGTGACCTACAACAGCATATGTGACCATCTGTGTGAAGATAAGCTATTTCTATATTGTGTATATCCATACCTTTAGGAATCTGTCTCCGGGTCCGCCCCAGGTCGCTTCCAGGACGAAACGATTTACGGCACTCAGACGCCACACGTCATCTTACCTAGCTGCTTACACACAGAGAAAATCCAATCCTCGGGAAGTCAGGAAATCCTTCAGGATAAACATTTTATTCGCTAGCAATTTAGCATTTACCAGCCCAATCCTGGCAGGAGCCAGCGGGTCCACGGCGTTAGCTATCTGGGGAGCCACACACAGAGGCCGCAGGTTGTGCAGATTCACCCCGCGCCAGCGGGGCCGAGGAGAGCAGGGGCCGCTGGGCTGGAACACCTCATCCGGGCCGACGACAGGGATCAGCCAGGCGTTGACAGGGTCCAGCGAGTGCCGAGGCACCGTTCCATACTCAGTCCAAGAAGCCGTGGAAGTGCTTGCCAAACAGGCCTTCAGTCTTACCAGCCGACCGCTGCGTTTACCCCGGTGGCGTGGCGCTTACGTCGGAGAGGTGGAGCTGGGGCACGGCAGAGGTGAGCTAGGATCCCCGATAGGAGCGGGGGCAAAGTTTTCCCGTCTTGTTGTTTCATTCATCCCCAAAACAAACACATGTGCGAGCCAGGTAAGCGTCTTTACAACAATACACGCTAGAGCTCATGGGAATAGAAGGTTTCATTCCGGCAAAACACTACCGCTTTTGTCCACAGGGTCGCCAAAATCAACTCAAAATGAAAGTTCCTTGTAGGGGCTTTAAGTGTGCACTATATTTAGAATATTTTTACTGCTTTACCTTGCCATCAGACAGCTCTTTTTGACAGGAAACTGAAGCCGTTACCTCAAAGTCACCAGACTCCATTGAGAAAAACAGTAATTTAACTTGGCAGAACACGGGAGTTGCTGGTCTACTGCTGACTTGATTGGTTAGTGTGTCAGGTAAAGTGGGAAAAAATCTTACAAATATAACATACACTCCAACTGATATTGATTTCTTTAGGTGGCTAGAATAGGTTCTGCTGCAGCCCCATCCACAGCAGTACATGGTTTAGCTTCGGTGCGAAGAGGTTTGGTTTATCAAAGATTCTAACGAAGCAAAACAGCACATAAAATAAGCACAGCAGAAACATCAGATAAGTTAGACTACTGTATTTAACTGTACATCTTTGAACGTCTGTAAATGAGAAGAAATGTGACGCAAACAAGTTTTCTCATTTCACATGTCTCTGCAGCTCAAATCAGTTGCTGGTTGTCTACCTGGGAGTGACTGTTGTTGTGAGCTGATGTCACAGTAATTTAGTCTATACCTGCACTTACCTGTTGGGAAAGTATAGATTAACCTAACTCCTTCTATTAACCATATACCTGCATAAAACCTTCCTCTGTGTTGGACCACACTGATGATTTGTCCGTAGACCTGTAGACACCCTGACACAACAAAATCACTGTCACTCATGTAATATGTCACATTGGAAGCATGAATATCAAAGACCATAAACATGCTACTGTGCATGAAGTAGCTGGATTCACAGATCCGACTCACCCATGCACAATAACGAGCTTGTGTCGCAGAACTGCAGAGTCTTGTCTAGACTAGCATTTCTCACCTCCTCCTCTTCTGTCCAGCTCAATATTCCATTTCAGCACTGGTGGCTCGGATATCAGTCTGTGAGCGATGTTTATTGGAGTGTCTCTGACTGTACTGCTGTTTGGACCTGCTGTACATTCTGTATCTCTCATATTTAGATTCAGCCTCTCCAAGGCAAGGGACTTAGAGAATGTTTTATGTACAGCGTGACCGGGCTGTGTGTGCCGTTTTCGAGTATATTCATCGTCTTAATATGTGGCACCTTGCAGGTTACATTGAAATTGCATTGTTCCAACACGGCTGTAATAAAACAAATTGATGAAAATGATCAATGAGATTAAGGACAGCAGCTTCGAGTCCCCAGAATTTGCTCCAGCCACCCCCGTGTACAAACTCATTAAAGGAGTCATAAAGGCAACTAATGAAAATCATGACCGGTATCATTACAAGCCCACTGGTGTCCCCTCGCCTTTCTCCTCTGTGAGCGAGAGAATAAAGGCGGATAAATTAATGTTCCCACCAATAATGTTACAAAACCACCGCCGTCCTTTAAGTAGTATCTGTTCTCCTCTGTGTGTAAAGCCAACTAAATTAAAGTTCAGGCCAGTATTGTTACGTAACCGTTTACACTCTGCCTCTGTGTGTGTGTCTCTTGTCATTTTCCAGGATGACAACTCCATGTTCTTTCAGTTTGGCCCCTCCATCGAGCAGCAGGCTTCAGTCATGCTAAATATCATGGAGGAATACGACTGGTACATCTTCTCCATCGTCACCACGTACTACCCTGGTTACCAGGACTTTGTCACCAAGGTAACCGCACTCAGCTGAGACAGACATGTAATCAGAAAGTAAAAATGACACAGAACAGAAGATGAATGAGCTTACCTGATCACTTCAGTGTCACATTAAATATGTTGCAGCTCTGAACGGGAAAATTTACTGTTCAAATCAATATATAGAATTTTAATATTGATGTTGATTAGCGACAGGTTTACTCAGCATTCAGTGGTTGGTATGAACTCTGCAATTGTCTTCTGAACTTTTGTAATAAACCCCCATTTAGAGGATTTTTTCCCGCCCCATTTCCACTAAACACTTCCGGTATGGTACCTTTGGAATCAAAAGTAACCCTTCAGACATGGTACCTAGACCCTAGGCCGCTTAGAGCTTCCACCGCAAACAGCACCCTTAAATGTGGGCGGAGTTGTTGTTGTCAAGCACCGGCTGTATTTCCTTAGTACTAGTGACACAGATGGAAGTCTGCACCTTGTATATTGTCCACAGAACGAGGCTGCATGCCAACATTTCTAGAACAAAACAGATCAGGCTGGAGTGAGAGTCTCTCTCCATGGGACATTAGTCCTCCCCAGGCAAGCTCAGGGGTTTAGTGTTGCTGGAGCCCACAGGAACAACGCTCCACAGCGCTTTCTTTTCTCCAAGAGAGGATTAGAATATATGCAGTTCATATAATCCAGTCAATCGCTTGAAGATCTGTCTGTGTTATCCAAGAGAGACAATAAAAACTACAGTAATGGTCAAAGTTGTCACATTTAAGGTGTGTTGATGGATTCACATCGTCAACACATGCATTGAGTAACAATACAAGTTAGCATTCCACCTTAAAAGTAAGCCTCAAAACCAGCCATAACTCAGTCCTGAGCAGAGTGACAAGCAAAAATACTAATTCATTTTAATATGAAACTGCTTTATTTAATGTTTGACTTATGTGGATAATTTGGCTTCCTATAAAAACTTCCTAGACAGTGAATTTTGAAGGAATTCTGACCTGAAGAAGTTTCAGCTGGTGGCAATCTGCAATCCTCACCACTAGATGCCTCTAAATCCTATGAATCCTACACACTGCTCCTTTAAAATAAAATCTCCTTTGTCTTCTGATCAGCTTCCTCTTCCTCTGTCCCATCCAGATCCGTAGCACCATCGAGAACAGCTTTGTGGGCTGGGAACTGGAGGAAGTTTTACTACTTGACATGTCCGTAGACGACGGAGATTCAAAGATCCAAAACCAGCTGAAGAAGCTCCAGAGCCCTGTCATTCTCCTCTACTGCACAAAAGAAGAGGCCAACACCATCTTCGAGGTGGCCCACTCTGTCGGGATCACCGGCTACGGCTACACGTGGATAGTGCCCTCACTGGTAGCTGGAGACACTGTCACAGTGCCTGCAGAGTTCCCCACAGGTAGGAAATCTGCTGTAGCAGAGCTACTTCAATACAAGTCCACTTGCATGCACAACATATTTCTGCATCAACTTTTGTTGTGTAATCAAGTCCCCACACTTGTGTGATGTCCAGGCAGACACACTGATGTAAGTGCTCATTGGTGAGTTTGCTGTACTTGACTTTTTCACTGTATTCATGATTGAAAACACTGACTCACTGCCCAGTCTTGTTGTCCAACTCATTTTACAGTTATTCTGCTGGAAGCTTGATTTGAGGTTTTCAGATACTTCAGTTTTGTGGTTCTTATTTTCTGTACTCTGAGAACAGTTTGGTTCAAAATGTTTGGTGTTGTAGTGGCATTCCACCACTCTTCACATTGGCCAGCTGTCTCGTTGAGAATTCTGCACACTGTTCTCTGGCTTTTCTCAGATACAATGAGCAAGTATTTCTTAGACGACTGATTCTTATGCGCATATTGTCAACATTGACCTTCCTTTCGTTGCTTGGCTAGTAGATGCCATTCCACTTTATCAACCCACCTCTGACAACAAGCTTCTAAAATACAACCACTAGCCCAAAAGAATGACAAGTGAGGTGTCGTGATACCGATGTGTCACTCGCAAACAATCCCATCAGGCTGTACTGAAACTTTTGGGTCTTTGGACCAGACTCTGCCTATAGAGTCTGTGGGTGCTCATGAAACTGAGTCAGAATGAGGAATTATAATTAGATCCCATTTCTATCTAACATAATCTCAGTGTGGTAAGATGTTTGCTTGTGTTTCATTGTTTAATAATGCAGCTTTTCATTTGTAAGAAGAAGAATGTGATCTCTCTTCTTTCATTGTCTCATTGTCTCGCTTAAAGAAGGCAAAAACTTTAATCTCTCTCAGCAGCTAATGAAGACTGAGATGCAATTAAAATTTCTGGAGAAAGTTACTAAGTGGACCTTATGTTGTGAAATTACAATCCCAAGGTCAAGATGAGCTTTTACACTCAAGAAAATTTGTAATCTGTAATTGAGGATGGAGTTAATGCTAACATTAGGAAGCAACAATGCCATATTGCTGTTGTCGTGATTGTTTCCTGACTTCAATCACTCGTGGTGGTGTAATGGCCGAAATACATGGGACATGGACAGGATGCATCAATTAGGCGGAGGTGGAGCTTTACTGTGTGCATATTGAGTTCTGCCGTGTGACACTGCAGTTGTTTATACAGGGTTTGAAGGTGTCGGCTATATTAACTGGTACTTAATTAATTGACTGGATTGTTTGACCAACAGGATGCATTGATTTTATTGATTTATTTTGACACAAGGTTTGCTCTGCTTGTACAATAAGATATTTGTACGGCTTTGTGCAGAGAATCAGTCACTTTCAATACACAATTAATAGGAGCGAATTTCTGAGTGTATAGTGGGCATACACTGTAGGGCATGCACCCTCATCCAAGAGGTGGAAGTCCATCTGCTGAGAAGTCAAGGGCCGTGTCCACCAAATCATTTGTCCCTTGCAAAATGCAAGGTACTTTTCTGAAAATACTAAGTTAGGAGCGCTCGAGAGCAGTTTGGAGGTGAGGCACTTTGGTTGCATCTGGTTGCTATGAGTGTGAGTGAGTGCCTAGGGTGAGAGGAAGGACCCACTGGTTTATGTGGGTTCATCAGAATTTGTTGGCAAGGAAATATATATTTATATGTATTAGGGCTGCTGCCATCAAAGAATTTTCCTAGTCGACCAATAGTCGTCATTTAGGGCCATTAGTCGAGTAGTCACCTGCATGTTTACGATATTAACTTAATTATTAAATGACATATTTTGGGCGGGGCAACACAATGGTTTGAGTTGAAGGTGTGAGAAAGAATAGTATCAGTAACATTGTTAACACTGTGCTACATTACAGAGAAATACAAACCGTACTAATGAACCTTCATTAATATAGGCCTATATTTTATCTACAAGTGCACGTCACACACTGAGCGAGCCACCTGTTAATAATGCTGTGGGCTAATGGGCATGTAGCTACTTCCATGTTTCAGATGATACGTCATGTTTGTAGTCGACCAATGAAGATGAGTTTACATATCACCTTGGGTTCGTCCTTCACCTTCTCAAAATGATCCCACACTTTGGATTTCCTGCCCAACATGTTATTAACTAGCCTGTGGAATAACCACAGGTACCAGCCCTGGAAATTAGGGGCCAATGGCTGGTCTTTGTGGAACTTGCTCTTTCTCCACTGTTACTGGACAGTTGGGTAAAAAGTAACAGTGACAAGTGCAGCGTTTTACCCAAAGAAAAAAAGCAGTGCTCAGAGCAGAATGGTCATCATTTGCAACACGGTGTAAATACACTGCGCTTCTGTTGCAAAGATTTAAAAAAAAAATACGCTTACCTTAGGAAAAACAAAACTTTTAGTGCACGCAGGCCCTCATTCTGTTGTTATACACATTTTATTTTCAGTTTTCCATTTGGATTTTTCATGCAAGACAAAAACAAACTGACCTTTCCTAACAAGAAGTGAGGGAGCGTCTCTCCCTGCCGTCTCCCCCCACAACTCCACTGGAGGTCATTCTAACCTTTGAAGGTCAAATGCAGAAACAAAGTGACATCTAAGTTGGGTTGCATTAACCACTGAACCTGCTCATGCAATGTGACAGGGACACCTGTCAGACCGCCTCATGTAACTCTACTTTCAGTACTTGGGGGTGGACAGACTCTTTCAGAAAGGCCAACTCTCAGTGGGGATCTATTAGTGACGGCGCCGCCATCAGAACTACTGGAACTTTCCACGACTTCAGTCTGTTTTACTCTCTGTAGGACAGAAAAACCTTAGCGCAGGCAGTATATTTATGCCAGACATATGAGCCTGATAATTTGTTGGTGTTTGGCTTGTTGATTTACAGTGAAGGGGAGATATTACACCGCTGCCTGTCCTCAGCAGTTTCTGGGAGATCGTTGTGCTGTACAGGCACCGTAACTCAAACTTTTTTACCTCTGCTCCCTTATTGACATCCATGGATGATTTACTCTAAATGGGAGCGAGGAGTGTGTTTTGCGAGCCTGTTTGTGTGCCTAGGAGTGTGTTTTGTGTAATGTCTGTCTCTGTGCATTTGGTGATTGGCGATGGTGATTGGTTCATGGTTTAATCTGTGTGAGAAAGTAATGGTTGCGTGTAATCAAATGGGTTGTGTGTTTGTGCTTTAGTGTGTACTGCAAACGGTGGAGAGTGTTTACCTGAAGGCCACGGTGAACAAAACTGTGTGTGCTTGTGTGTGTGTGTATGTGTGTGTCAGTTTGTCTGTTCCAAATTGAGGTTACACTCTATAAAGTTTGATATATCACCGTATCAGTTATGTAAATCACACAGCAACTTCGCTCTTGATTTATGTTGCCAGGGAGATAATCGTGACTAGCTCATGCACTGCCTCTGTGATTACAAAGTGGAGCTGGCAGAGTGGCTGCGTTGATGGACACAAACAAATCTCTTTCAGTTAACATTGAATTATCATGGGATTAATCATATGGGACATGATGACAGATAGTAGGCTAAATGTCATCCACTCATTTAATGTGTGATGAATAGGACACTGAATGCCTTTAGTGTAACGTAAACAACAAAATGACAGATATTAAGTCATTTATATTTTGTGTTTGCCTTCATATGATTGGCATCTTGTGTATTTATGGAAATATATGTGCTCTTAAACAAGATGCTGTATAGTGATATGCATAGTAATCTTATGGTAGTTTACGTGTTGACTTTAAGTCAGTGTGCAGATGGCTGAGCTTCTGCTCACATAACTGCTGCTGCAAGATCTGTGTTTGTCAATGCTGCCCTCTGCCAATAATGACTTTGAAATGACTCAAAGAAATACCTTTTAAAGTCTAGAGTCTGACACCCTCTCACATCTTAAGACAATGTGAGTTTTTGGTCACAAACTGTTAGATTATTTCAAAGACTGCAGATCTTGTGGGGCCACTGTTTGCAAGACTACATCTAGATTTCTTATAAGATTATTTCCCAACCTTCTCATGGTGGAAATTATTACACCAAACTCCCTTTAAGAAATATGACATTTTAAGATTACCTTACGTGTCTATCAAAAACACTTAACTAATGGAACACAAGATAAAAGGCGTCATATGTCAAAGTATTCTTGTCAATTCGGCATTAATATAATCTATGAAAATAATATGTATTGGTGTACAAACTTGACATTTTGGATTTTGTCGCCTCACCTTGCTACCAGCCTCCGTTGGTTCGCTGTGCTATTTTAGTGGGAGGACATTGTTGGAATGGCCATTTCAGAAATTAGGATTTCTCACTGAAATTAGTGCTGCTGAGTGGATCAGATACACGCCAAATTAAACATGCACATTTGTTCACTCTACCAGTTTCTCCTCCTTTTCTACAGTACAAGAGAACTGAGACTTCACGTTCTCCCTCTAGTTCCCTCCATGTTACTGTCTACCTAGTTTTCTGTTTTCTATTTGGTGCTGGAGAAAGCGCAGCTATTGGTTGTTGACAATATTCACGTCCTTAAATTTCACTATGTGCATGAGCCAACATGGAAAAGTTGCGATAGTATTAAACAGCCAACTTAACTGAATTTTATGACCACTTACAAACACTTGAGATCACGATAGCGCACACCAACTGCATTACAACTCTCATGATTTTATTCTGACAGTGGAAGTTTGTCTGCAACAGTGAAACCACTTGAAAAGCTGCTCAGTGGAAGGCTGGCATAAAATAAACATGATGGTAGGATGTTACTTAACAGCTTCAGCAGTGACATTCAATATCAGTCTGCACAGCAAGAAGCCTTACCTTCATAATGAGTTGCTAAAGCACCAGAAAGAATACTAATGTGGTGTTTTTATGTTGTGGTATTGCAAATGCATTGACATTAGAAAACTGCCGGTAGAAACCCTGAATGCATTTTTATGCCTTAGAGCTGACAATAGCCGACGTCTGAGTCATTATGCTTTCTGATTGTCTGTACATATGTTCCAA